TGGACTCAAACAATGATGGATCTGGACAACAGTGTTATACCCTCCAGTGTATTTCTGACTTCTTCAGGTTCAGCTTGACCCAGCTGAAACAGAGGGTTTAGAGTCCTTCTGAGGCCCCTTCTACACTGTCCTTTTATCCCAGGGTCTGATTCCAGATTATCTAAACAGTATATATGGCAGTGGGAACTCATATAATCCAGTCCAGCAGTGGTGGCTGCTCAGCTGTGGAACTCCCTCCCCAGTGACTCCCTCCCTCCTGGCCTTCAGAAAGAAAGTGAAAATCTGGCTTTGGGATAAAGCCATTGGAGATTAACTATAGAGCAATAATAGCTATGAAATATGTGCAATGCTTATTGGAATGGCCCCGGATTACAATTGTGGATGGTGTGAGTTTAATAGTGAATGTAATGTTTTTATATGTTTTAATGTGTATTAATTTCAACTTAAATCTATTTTAATTGTATGTTGTTCAAAGGCATTGAATAGTTGCCTATATGTAAAGTCGCCTTGAGTCCCCTTCAGGGGAGAGAAAGGTGGGATATAAATAGGATACATAAATAAATAAAGCAGATAACCTGGGATCAGATTCTGGGATATAAGTGCAGTGTAGAAGGGGCCTGAAAGGTCTTCTATATATGCACTAAAACCTGGAAGAAGCCGGGATAAAAGGTTGTGTGTAGCTAAATGACATTTTGCAGGCTGAATTGGGTTAACAGATGAAAAGCATGTGTTCAAAAGGTGCGCTTAAAACCCAATCCACCCAAAAATGTGCATATATGCATGACTGTATATTCCTGCAGTCATAGAAAACACGTGACTTCCTTCCTATACCCTAGTATGGACTGCTGCCCTTGTCCACCCGCATTTTCCTGCAAAAGCTTTCAAAAATAGAAATGTTACGGGAAGAGAGGGAATATTTATTTATTTATTTCCTATATTTTTATCCCGCTCTTCTCACCCCCGAGGGGGGACTCAGGGCAGCCTCACAAAAGCACTGTATGATTCCAACATCATAAAAACAATCAGACAATACATTAAAAATATTAAAAAAACATTAATTAAAACAATTGATTAAAGTACACCTGTTAAAATCAGAATCCAAAATCCAGTCCAGGGTCAATTCATTGTCTTAAGTCTTCTTTCACCTGCATTCACTGGTTGAATGCTTGGTCCCATAGCCAGGAGGGAGGTGGCCAGTCTGATGTCCCTGGGGAGGGAATTCCACAGACGGGGGGCCACTTCTGAGGAGGCCCTGTCCCTTGTCCCCACCAATTGCATTTGCGATGGTGGTAGGATCTTTTAGGTTATTCCTGGACAGACTAGACTCTTGCTTTTTTCCACTCTACTTAGAGAAGGAGATGGCTTCTTTTTAAATTAAAAGTACACAGTTCTTACATACATCCAAGGTTAATCAGACTTAGGCTTTTGGAGTCATAATTTCAGCCAAAATGTCTAGATTTATATGTGTATAAATATACTAGTACCTTACTACTGAGGATATGTTAAGATGATAAGCTTTTATTTAATATTGAATGTGATACACAAATGGAAAAGAAACTATCTATCTATCTACCCATCTATAGATCTCTATATAATGACTTTCATGCATCAAACAAAGACATGGGAAAACGTAAATATCCCAAAGTGGTGGGATCCACAGTGGGATTATAATCTGAATTCTTCTGCAATATATTATACAGAACTGAGGGTACATCTACACTTAAACATTAAATCAGTTTGACACCACTGCCTTGGCTCAGTACTATAGTATCATGGCAGTTGTTATTTTACAAGGTCTTTAGCTTTCTCTGCCAGAGTGCTGGTGGCTCACCAAACTACAATACCTAGTATTCCACAGACTTCAGTCATTGCAATTAAAGTGAGGTCAAACTGCATTTACTCAACAATTAAGGCCCCATCTACACTGTCAGATAAAATCCAGATTATTTATTAATTAATTATTTATTTAAAACTTTTATATCCCGATCTTCTCACCTCCGTAGAGGGACTCAGACCGGCTATGTACTTTTGAACTGGATTATATTAGTCTACACTGCCATATAATCCAGTTCAAAGCAAATAATCTGGATTATGTATGGCAGTGTAGCCTAGGCCTTTCAATTTCACTTCATTTTGAATTTGAAAAATCTCTAGTGTGGGGAATTCAGTCTTTAGGATGGTGGAGTGGTCAGGCCAAAGCTCTGAAAGCTCCTGCCTTTGCTGTGGAGTT